TGTTGAACCAGACATACGGATGCTCTGAGCTGCAGCAATGGCTCCACATGGGCAGAATGTAGGATTGTTGCATATGCTTCTCTGTGGGCTCTTTCCGAGTAAAAGCTTTCTTTAGCCGTGAGAGGAGTTTGAGAGTGGAGAAAGCATGAGAATGGGCTGTGACCCATGGCAGAAACTCGTTGACGCAAACACAAAACTTCACTCCATCTTGAACTGGTGTCTTCGGATAAAAAAAAAATGCCCAATTCAAACCAAAATGCCTCCAGTCCTGCCAATGCAAGCCTTTTGTTCCTGAGGAGTTGGCCTGCCCCAGCTTAAGAAAATCATGCCTTGGTTGCGGTTGCGTCCAAGTCTGAAATATTAGTCGAAATCTGAGGTAGTAGATCACAATTTCAGGGGCGGGAGATTTGCCGAAAGACGGTTCCAGCCAGGACAGAGGTTTGACTCAGAGCGTTCATCTCGGAGATTGAATCAAGATGGTTACTCTGAACCCGTGATGCGTCCTGATGGAAGATATGAGATTGTTCATCGCGTGAGGCGTTTTGATTCAGATGGTGGTGTGCGTCAGTACCGTTATGATAAAGATTGTTTTGCATCTCACAACACGCAGAACTACGATGAATCTGACCATAAGGCGGCCGAGAGTCCGGGAGAGCGAGATTGGGCCTGGGTCGCATTTCTTGTTGGGTGTCTTGAGCAATCCCCTGCTTGCAGATCTTCGCACACATACTGGTCCGATTCGAGTAGGGTCTTGATGTCCGTTTTGTCTCGGGCCTTGAGGTCCACTTGTTGGGCTTGGGCCTTTGACGCCATAGCCCGGATGCAGACGTAACAAAACGACGCCGCCGCCGTTGATCTCGACGACACCGCAGAAGCTATGGCTCTCCGTATCAACCTCGTCGCCATTGTTGCGTCTCTGAGCTTTGACAACATATGTAGCAGCAACCATTAAAAGGCTTCTCTGCTCATTAACCATCTGTTTTTTAGCCCTTCTGACGACAATACCACAACCTAATCTCATCGATGGCAGAAGGCAGAAAGGAGGTAGAAGACGAAGACTCCTTCTGTTTGAAAAGTAACTCACAGTTTTGGGCCGTTGAGTGCTTGTTGGGCTCACGGTCATCCTCAATAATGCAGCCCACCATTATATATATATTTTTTTATAATACATTAATAACATGTTTTTTTTTTTTTTTTTTTTTTTTTTTGTACAAAGAAATTGTAATAGCATCAAAACTTTTAATTAAATCTTTATTCCCTATTTTGGTGTGACTGAACTCGAAATTGAATGCTCGAGCTGCCTACGTACCCTTCCAAAAAAGAGATCAAGTCGTAACGTAGTTCAAATACATTTTTTTTTTTGTACTTTCTTTTGGTGTCGTTTGCAGTTTCAACTCGTGCAGACAAGGAGCTTTTGGTGCCGTGTTGCAGTTTCAGCTCGTGCAGGCAATGAGCGTTTGGTGTCGTTTGCAGTTTCAACTCGTGCAGACAAGGAGCTTTTGGTGCCGTGTTGCAGTTTCAGCTCGTGCAGGCAAGGAGCGTTTGGTGTCGTTTGCAGTTTCAACTCGTGCAGACAAGGAGCATTTGGTGTTGCCTTTTATGCTTGTGCAGACCAGGAGCTTCGTGCCATGCAGTTTAGACTCGTGTAGGCGAGGAGCCTTGGTTCGTGCAGTTTAGGCTCGTGCGAACAAGGAGCATTGGTGTTGCCTTTTATGCTCGTGCAGACCAGGAGCTTTGTGCCATGCAGTTTAGACTCGTGCGGGCAAGGAGAATTTGTGAATTTTGTCAAGCAATCCGGGAGAGGCGTTCCTCACAATTTTCATAGCAAGGAGCTTTGACCGCGTGATTGAAAAAGTCTTCGGGCAGGAAATCGCGCATCGTGATGGGGATGGACGATCTATGTGTCGAAATTTCATCATCTTCAACAAGTTCACGTTGCTTTGAAGGTTGACAATAGCTGCTTTGCCCCCTTTCCGATTGGCGGACTTGTGAAGGAGACGTATGCTTCTTGTGCAATTTCTTAGGAGTGACTTGAGTCCATCCTTCAACTTTGCTTGTCTTTGAGGATGCCCCCAGCGGTTGAGGTGAAAACTTTGAGTTGGAAGAGCCAAAAGTGAAGGTGGTATAGTTTGACTTCGCCACTTCGTCAAGATCTAGCTCGATGATTCCTTTATGAGCCAGCTTCATGATGAGATCTTTCAGCACGAAACATTTTTCTGTCGGATGACTGATGAAGCGGTGGAATTTACAGTACCTTGGATTGTCGGTGCGATTCATCTCTTCCGGCCGTCTGCACTCAGGCAAACTGATCACCTTCTTGTCCAACAGGTCATCTAGCATGGCAACCACATCAGAGTCGGGGAATGGATAAGTCTTCTCCTCAAGCTCCTTCAAAGTGCGTCTACGCGTCTCTTGATCACGAAAAGCTTCGGTTTGAATCGCCTTGCCTCGTGTGGATATTTTGACAGGAGATGTGTTGATCATCATCGCTTCCTTGGTGGGTTTCCAAGCAGCCTTCTCCACCTTTGTCTCAAGAACTTTGTCGTTCTTGTAGTCGGCGATCGGTTCCTTCTTCCCATGATGGGCGATGCTCAACTCCATGTCATGGGCGCGGGTGGCTAGCTCTTCGAAGGTCCGTGGTTTGATGCCTTGAAGGATGTATTGCAAACCCCATTGCATGCCTTGGATGCACATCTCGATTGAAGAGGTTTCCGAGAGCCTGTCTTTACAGTCGAGGCTTAGAGTGCGCCACCTGTTGATGTAGTCAATGACTGGCTCGTCCTTCCACTGCTTTGTGCTCGTTAGCTCTAGCATGCTCACAGTGCGGCGGGTGCTGTAAAAGCGGTTGAGGAATTCCCTTTCCAACTGTTCCCAGCTGTTGATGGACTCAGGCTCTAGGTCCGTGTACCACTCAAAGGCGTTTCCTTTCAGCGAGCGCACAAACTGCTTGGCGAGGTAGTGTCCTTCGGTTCCTGCGTTGTTGCAAGTTTCAACGAAGTGGGCAACGTGCTGTTTTGGGTTTCCCTTTCCATCAAATTGCATGAACTTTGGTGGTTGATAACCCCTTGGCATCCTTAGGGCATCAATCTTCTTGGAATAGGGCTTCGAGTAGAACAATGAGGTATGTGAGCTCCCTTCGTACTGTGTCTTGATGGTATTGGTGATCATCTCCTGTAGCTGCTGGATAGAAAGAGATCCCATGAGTGCCGCTGCTTGGTCTGGCTCCGGCTTCCCATCGATTTTCTTCACCGGGGGTTCTTCGTCTCCGCCAGCTCCTCCCTTTAGTGGATCATCCTCTGGGTCGGGTTTATCGCCATCCTGCGCTTCCAGTCGGTTGACTAGTGCTGCAATTTGCAAGTCTTTTTCTTCCACAGTTCGGGTTAGCCTTGCGATTGCTTCATTCATTTGAGCCAGCTGCTCATCGATTGAAGTTGCTCCAATGGTCATGACTTGCATGGCTGAACTATCGCTTGAATCGGCATCGGAGAGCATGGATTCAGAGTATTTCCTTGGGCTTTCCCCCCTTGGTGCCCTTAGTGAGGCTAAGGTGATCAAAGGCTCGTGCCTTGGGTGCTTTTGTTCCCTTGGCAGAGTTGATGCAGAGGTGAAAGAGGCGGCAGAAGTAGCTCTTGCCATGCTTCGAGTCATGATGCCCAAAGTGACACCAGTTGCGACGAGGACGCTTTTGTTCTTTGCGCCGGTTGCGGGAACAGTTTGAGCCTTCCTTGATGCCATTAATTTTGGAAGTGCGCTTGAATTTCTTGAACGGAGAAAGAGATGAGAGGTAGAGATTGTCCCACTGGTCGTGCCAATTTGTGAACACGGAAAATTCCTGAAACGAAAGAGACAAGAAACGACGTGCACAAACAAATATTTGTATTTTTGATTTTGGGTTACAATCTCTCTCTATTTTGATCCTCTGATTCGATCTCCGTAAGGTGTGTATTTGTGGATGTGTGATTGATCCAAATGGCCGTTGGGCTTGATCTAAGGATGAACGTTCTTCAAGGGCCGTGGACTTGATCTTGAAGGTGGATTTGAGCGGATCTTCAAAGGGGCTTTTGGGCTTGATCTTTGAAGAACAGTGATGAACGGATCTCCAAGGGCTTTTGGGCTTGATCTTGAAGAACAGTGATGAACGGATCTTCAAGGGCTTTTGGGCTTGATCTTGAAGAAACGGTTGGATGTGTGGATTTGTCGACGTTGTTGATCCAAAGGGCCGTTGGGGCTTGATCTTGATTTGGTGGATGATTGTTGATCCAAATGGCCGTTGGGGCTTGATCTTGGATGAACTATGAACGAGGAACGAAGAACACTTTCTTCAAGGGCCGTCGGGGCTTGATCTTGAATTGGTGGATGATTGTTGATCCAAAGGCCGTCGGGGCTTGATCTTGGAAGAACGATGAACGAAGAACGAAGAAGGCTTTCTTGATTCTTCGGGAACCTAGATGCTTAAGAGCTTCGGAGTTTCAGAGCTTCAGAGCTTCAGAGCTTCAAGGTGTAATATGAATTCGTTCCTTGTAAATGAATGAAATGGGCTTGTATTTATAGAATTTTCCAAGGCCTAACTTTGAATATAATATCCCAGATGAAATAAGTCGTTTCTGCTAGGTGTTGACACGTGTCCTGTTTGATGACTTTTCCAACTTATTTTGATTTTTTGTTTAGACACACGCTACGTGTAAAATTTATGTAATACATGAGCGTTGAAACTTTGATTTATCGGTCAACATTTATTTACCGAAATTTCGATGTCTACAATAGGTTGGCAGTTGAATTTTATAATTAAGGAATTAAAAAGATCCCAACACAAATCCGAACTCTAAAATCCCAAATCCCACTCCCATCCAAACAGGTCCACAATTCCTTCACCCAAATGTTCATACATTCATCAAATTACTCCCACCTAAAGATTTAGTCTCTAATCAAATCCTATTATTCATGCTATTGCTATTGATCCTCCGCATCAACAAAAATAAAATTCGGAGAAGTAGACTTACAGTAGCCGGCGAAGTAACGGATGTCGTCGAGGTCGGAGGATGGCTGGATGGGTGGTGGTGGTGCCGTTGTGTTGGTTGTGGCAGTGGTGATGGGCGTTCTCTGGGATGTCGAAGTCGAGGGAGTCAAGGGAGTGACGGATGGTGGAGAGGTGGGAGTGAAAGAGTGAGACTGAAACTGATTCTGGAAACCTAGTTTAGAAGGTAACAGTTCAGATTGGATGATAGGTTATCATTCAATCTTGACCGTTGATTATAATTAAAAACGGGTCGGTCCGGGGCCCTGTTTTTCTAAGGTTTAGAAACCAACCCGCCCCGTAAATAACAATGGCCCGGCCTGGCCCGTCCCATTTGTTCCAAAAAAAAATAGGACTCGGCCTATACCCGTCCCAAACCTACATTACCCGTCCCGACCCGCAGTTCCTTTACCCGTTTGCCCACCCCTGGTGGCAATGGCTTTAAACCATTTTTAAGTGAGTGTAGTGTGTAATATATACATTATTTTTATTAGTGGTGCTATTTATGCATTTATTTTTATTTCTTATAAGTTTTTTTTTAATTATTAACCATCGAATTAAATGAATTAAAGAAGATCAATAGCGAAAAACTAACAAAGTTGTGTGGGAAGTAAAAATGAGTGTATGAATAACACTTTCCTTGATAAAACCCTAAAGACAATTTGGTCCGCTTCACAAAATGAAATTATCAGTAGCATACAAACCAAATTTTGCTGTTTTTTTTTTTTTTTTTTTTTTTGTAGGCTTGATCATCAAGTTTCTCAATTAATTTCATTTGTAATCGGTTTGTGCTTTTTTGTAGGCTGAAGCCGTAGCTGAGGAGCTATGTGAATCAGTGGCAGCTAGTCTTGACGGTAAAAAGTTGCCATGGTTCACGGCAATATCTTCTGCTGTGCAGGCAGCAATGGAAGAAGCACTTGTTCGTATTTTAACTCCTACTGTGGACTCTTCTCCTATACTGAACCCGCGGAAGAATCTGCCCAGGAAACCATGTGTTTTCGCTTACATTGACACCACAGGAGATTGGAAAGCAACCAGTTCGGTTAAGGTAATTAAGCTGATTAATTTAATTCTTGTGCTTAAGTCAAGCAGGCCTCTAATTTTACTAAATGGTTCTGCTTAATCATATATTGTGATCAATTTGCTGCAGGCTGCTTGTCGGCTCCAGAAGGAACGGAAGAACAGCGTTATTATGGTGGCCGACCGTGATACATTCCGGTCAGACACTGTTATGCAGTTGCGTAGAGATGCATGGAAACTCCAGGTACTGAACTATACAGATAGTTTCAATTTATAGGATTCACGTTCACTTAAGAAGATTAAATTTTACAGATGTGAGATAGGTCAGTTTGTCAGGTAGTGTTCCGCCCCTGCATCTAAGTTCGAACACCCTTACTTGTAAATTCGAGTCGATTATTACTTACTGTCTCAGCCTGATAATTAACTTCCGATTATTAAGAAACCAATTTTGCTCCATGTCAGCGGATTCCTATTTTCGAGATGCGGCATGAGAAGGATCCCACAATTACCATAAAGAAAGCAGTCCAGGAGGCCAGAGACGATGGTTCGGATGTGGTTGCTCATGCAGCCAGTCCAAAGCAGGTATATCGCTTTTCCGAGTTTCTTCTTTTGCATTACTGATGAACTGCTAAACGGGTCGTGTTTGTCATGTTCGTTCATTTTTGTGTTAAATACGTTATCTTAAAAGATTCTTAACAGGCGATCAAATAATGACTTGATTTGTTAATGTGGTTTCGTGTTAAGTTAACGAGTCATGCAAGAAATTGTCATACCTAATGTCTTATCGGTTATTAACTAATAACGACATGACTGATTAACTAATTATTAATGGGTAACTTGATAATGACTTAACTCGTTAACAGATTGACCCAACACATGTAATTTTCGTATTGTATCACTTCGTGTCGGTTTAAAGAATGGTGTAAAAAATTGTCAAGTCCTATGATTATGCATTGTGTGAATTAATGACTGAATTTGACCATGCCTTGGGTAGGCGGCAACTGTGCTGGCGACGGCGTACTTATCCGGAGCTAAGGTCATTTTACGTGGCGTTGGGAAGCCGTACACAGGAGAGAAGCACACAACCAGAAAGCTTGTCAAGAAACTCTTCAAATGACACTCAACTGTGCTGGCTTCTTAATTTCGTTATAATCACAGCATATATGCTGTTAATTAATTTGTTTGTTGATTATGTAATCTAGTATCGTTATCGTGTATTTTCGAAACTTGAACGTGAATTGATGAAGTTGTTTTGGCACTAGTTTAATGTCAAATCTAATTAATTCTCTTTTGTTCTAGAGCTTCTCTTTCTCTACTGTAATTAACTGATGTAGAACAAATGATTGAGTGAATTGAAGGCAAAATGGACTGAAGAAAGACAAACTACAATAAGTAAAAAATAATAATAAATGTTAGAGAGGTGGTACAAATGGAATTGAGATTCTTTTCAGATCTCAGGGTCTGAAGTCGACGGATCAAATAATCTAGATCACATTTCAAATCTTACAACTCTCACTAGTCTTTTTCATTTGCTCACCTCACAAAATTCAAGGGTTTGGATCTTTCTCCGTCTTTTGAACAATCTAGATTACACAGTCCATCAACTCCAAACTTCGAAATCTGAAAAGAACCTACAATATGATATATAAAATATAACTAGAGTAGCATTTTTTATAATATTTATATGAGCTCAATTTTAAGGGATCTCTAGAGTAGAGCCTAAAGCTTAGTTTATTACATAATTTATTCATGAGAAATTTAAAAAATAAGATAAAATAAAATATAAAAAAAATCTAATCTCCGATTCTTTTTACTTTTATTAAAACCGTCGTCTATAAAATTTAAACTCAGAGCCTCCTGAAACTGAGACTCCATCTCCAAATAAAAGATGACAAATTCAAGTGCAGCAACAACACAGTACATCTAAACAGCACTCACAAGTCTCATAGCAGCAGAAACAAGAAGAAGCTGCAAACAAACTGCACCGAAATTCACAGATCACAAAACGAAATTAAAAGGATAATCAAGTACATATATAAGTAAAAACTGTAAAAATTTCAATCATACTAACCAAGCATAGAGGCACCCCTTCTCCTCGTGGCGCCGTCAAACGTGATCAACCGGGGACATTTCTTGGTAACCCGGTGGTGCATACATTTTCTCTTCTTCCTCCTCCCACCACAAATTAAGAAAGATAAATAGACTGAGTGCTGATTTTTCTGTGCAACTCTCTTCTTTTTTAGGCTTACAAATTTGATAGAAATACTGAATGATAAAAGCTGTGTGTGATTTGCAACCACTCAGATTTGGTATTAAATGTATCCACCAATCATTTTTATGAGCTTCCATTACAAAATCAATGGTTGACAGGTGGGTGAGGGAATGAAGCTGAGATTCTATCCCACCACAGAAGTGGGCAGTCTAACTCTTTATAAGTACAGACAAAATCGCTTAATCTTCGTTGTGTAATTCACATTCTCAACACACTCCCTTTTGTGTGGGGTCATTTAAGCCTAGCACATGACAGCACACTTGGGTAAAGTAGGAGCAAGCAAGATGTGACTCAACACGTGAGTAACATGCTCTGAAACCATAAAAAATGTTTAGGGAAAGTTAAGGTAAATAAACCAATTAGTAATATTGGACGTAGCCTAACTCTTTATGAGGACATGCAAAATCCTTAATTCGCTAATGTGAAATTTACATTCTCAACAGCATACATATAAACATACATACATACATGTTTACGTGCATATATATATACATGTATATATAGGTGTGTATATACGTATACACATGTGGGTACATACGTGCAGGCCATGTGTGATCACCGTCCAAATGGAGATGTGAAGTCAGATTCCAATGGCTTGAGTCATGACACCATCATCAGGGCTTCCCGTGATTCATATTCACAAGAAATCACTGATTTCTTTATCAATATAAAGACGAGACTACCACATCTTCTCTCTTTTTATTCTTTCATGTATTACAATTGTATGATTCTAACATGGGTTAGTAGACAGAAAAATAAGGGTAACGCAGTCCGACCACATCATCCACAAAGCACCTCTCAAAATATTAAGGGATGCACCTCTCAAAATATTAAGGGATGGCGTATAATTTGATCTTACTCGATTCCATTGATCTTCAACCGATGCAGGAGTTGCCTAGTTAGACAATCCTATTGAAATTTCGACCGTTTGTATGTGATCTCGTTCTATGTAAAAGTTATCCTAATCAGTCAGCCCTACCAAAATTTCTCAAGTATGTAGATAAACTCTTTTTAGCAGAAAAATAACTTTAAACTCAAAATTTATCAACACAAGCGAGACCAAAACACCGACATAATAACACAAATAATGTGTATAATACGAGTCAAAAGTTGTTCCAAAAGTCATCATATCAACAACATTTAGATTTATGAACTTCACCTAGTACATGTGAATCCATGCTAGCCAAGGTCAAACATGTTTGTCCAAAAAACCCAAAAATACCCAAAAAAAAAAAAAATGAAATGAGGAGGACATTAATTTAGCTATACAAATCCTTGACATTGCAAAGCGGATGGCTTTAAACATGATCACTATCTACTCAACAGGGAGACAAGAAAAAATACAACTTACAAAAGATAGGCCATAACAAACCAACCCTTCTGTAAAGATACAAGATGTGTCAACAAACATAACACACGGCAAGCAAAACGGTCCTTTAACGAATCTTCAGCGCAGCGGGATCATCTATCAATACAACTTAGAAGTACAACTCAGAAGTACAACATCCAAGCACTAACACAATCTGCACCGTTTGTTATCTCTGGTCCAGTTCAGAACCAAAATTTGATACTCCATTAGAGCTGTCAAACTATGCATGCCAAGTTCTGTTACTTAAGAAATTAGCAGACAACATGGTAAGCAGGAGGTTTTATAGGAGATAAAAAGTTACAGGCTACAGGTTGGACCCCGGCCGCAGTTTCCAAGCGTTCCCATGTTAACCTTCGCTTCTCAGCTGCAGCGCTTGACCTTAGATTTTCCTCCTCCAACTTACATTGGCAGGCAATTACCAGCTCCTCATCCATATCGCAAAATGTCTTCTTCATATTCAGGGTCAGGTTCAGCACCGCTTGATTCCAGTGGTGTTGGGTGTTTCGCTCAATAGCTGGGAAGACAAGCGGCAAGATCACCTGGCGGTTATGTGCGACAAGGTTAAGGATGTGTTCATTGTTCCACAGCAAGTGGGCTCGTTCAGCCACCTAAAACAAAAAAATGTGTTATTGTTTAGAAGCATCATCAGTTGAATGATCTAGATCATGCTAACGTATAGTTCTTTACGATCAAGCAAGCAAATTTTCAGTCAAACAGGGGGTTCCAGTTTATGCAGTAGAATATTACCTGGTAATGAAAACTATTAAGGCAGCATCTTATCCGCCGGAACAGGGGAACCATGATCCTTTGAAATTCGTCCATGCTAGTCATTTCCAAAACCTCTTCTAACTCGCTTAAAAACATCAACTCCTTCTGGCTATTTGTTACAGGCCAGTACTTCAACAAGCCCTTTATTACAGTACTCGCCAATTTCGGATCCTTATCTATAAACTGTACAACACAATATGTCAACTGCTGATGATAAATACCCACGGACTTTGGTTTGTGTAGAGGAATCAGAGCCCTCCACAAAAATATCTTGTGTTCCTCCTTCAGTGGCAAAGCAAACCCACTAATTACACTTCCAAATATCTCCAACAGCTCAGAAATTCCATTATGCCTTTCAGTTTCGAAAACAAAACGATATATGATATTGCTTACAGCTTTCCGGATAAATGGTCTGTGTACCATGAACTTTCCATAAATCCTATGCAGAATGGTTTTCAAACAATCTCTTTCTCTTGGGTCCTCAGAGTCAAAGAGGTCAAGTAATTTTACGATAAAAGAGTGATCCACATGCTTTTTTGCCACCTTTACATCAAGTGAACTATAACTGATAAACCGAACCAGAAGATCATACACAATTTGCAGATATGACCAAGCAGGATCAAACATTGGTTCTTCATCTTCTGTTTCACCGCCAGTAAAATTAGATCGATACTTAGGTGGGAAAACTCTAAATAGGTTGACTGCACACATTTTACACACTGCAGAAATTGCTGGTTCAGTGAACTTCACAGTCCCAGAAGAAACATAATCAACAAGTTCTATTAATGTTTCACGTTTGAGATCTTGCTTAACTGGATCGCTGGAATCAACGAACTCACAGCAAAGGTTCAGCTTGCTGATAAATAGATTATGCTTCTGTGGGTTTGAAACCTCCTTGAAGGATAGATGGGGCTCCACTGCCTCAGCTCCAGCTGCAATGCTTGATGGGAAAACTGCTGAAGACACCCGCTTGACAACATTTAATTTGCTTGTAAGAGAACTCCCACCAATTGTACATGGGAACCCACTCCCCAAATTGGAAGTATTGCTGCCAGAATCACTCCCTATAGAATCTAGTGAATCACACTTTGACGACTTGCGAGGAAGTTTGCTTAGGATTTGCTTCAGCATGGTGGACCCTGCATAATCCAACCAACATTTAACATGGCGAAATGTTGTAGCAATCAAATCAATACATCAATACATCAAACCTTCAAACAAAATATCTTCGGGCACATCAGCTACAAAACCATCCACATATATGGAGTGTAACCATAGTACTACAATGTCCCGCAAAGGGATTACACAACAAAGCAATATAAGACTTCAACTGTGTAGGTGGTAACGGGAAACGAAAAACAGACTGAGCGGAACACAACTTGCGATGAAATTGAAGCCGTTTAGAAGACAACTTCAGTTAGTCCATGGACTGTTAATTTGTCTATTAGTAATCATCAAATCAGAGTAATATCTACATGACTGCATTTCTTCAGTAAAGTTCAGAACAAAAGCATATACAAGTAGCAAGTGAACTGAATCTTTCACCCACCAGATCAAACTCAAAAGCAATCAATTCAAAACATGAAAAATTTATACACCAATAAAAATCTAACAAATACTTCTATCTTACTAAAGAAGAACATCAATCTGACCACAAAAGAAACAAACACTACAGAAAGAAACAAGTTAAAAACAAGTCTCTAATTAGCAACGAATTATAAGATAATAAATGCCTATAAAGTTATTAGATTTTGGTACAACAAACAATGGAAACTCAGATCTGGCACAAAAACAGAATAATAACACAGATCTACACCAACCCCAGATCACAATTATCATAAAACCCTCTTGAAAAATAAAACTTGGGCACGATCTAGACAATGCACAAACAAAATTCATCAAGAACAAGAATTTGAAGTCTACCCAAGTTAGCTAAACTGAACACAAACATTCAAGGAGAGAGAAACCTGTTTTGGAGCTTCTGGGTGTGCTTGTAAAAAACACAGAGAGACCCTTTTTAGCAAATGAGAGTAGAGGAGGAGGTCATGGTATCCACAAAACTACCCAAAATGTAATTTTGGGTGAGAAATGAAAAAGCAATTTACTTTAGAACAAAGGGGAAGAAAAACATAAGGCAGGCAGCAGAGAGAGAGAAAAAGAGAGAGAGAGAGAGGCAGTGTTTGGCTGTGAAAAAAATGATGTTTTGATCCACTATCTCCCTTTATGTTGGACCAAAAGCTTAAGCTAGAGGGCTTCCATGGGAGATCAATACGAGATCAATACGAGGTCCTCGATTGAAAAGAAGAGGCGGTGTGGCATTTTCTGAGAATTGCAGGCGCCGGTCTCCACCCAACAAAAATAAAGTTTTAACACTTTCAGTTGGTAGAGAAGAAAAAAGAAAGAAACTAAACTATATGAACAAAAATAACTATTTGAGAAATATTCCTTAAGCTAAGCTTGGCTGAGCTGAATAAGATCTGGATTGGATTTTCATTTGGTAAAAAGCATTGCTATTATTGTACTTGTGGGGCACCGAAAGCGGCCTTCTTGTGTACCATGTTAGCAGTAGCACCAACCCAACTCTTGTGTGTTGTTCCCTTTCTAACTGATATTTTTGTTGGTCCATTTGGTTTACTTATGTTTGATTAGCCCTAAACAAAGAAGAGGGGTAGATGGAGAGGAGGACTACTAACCTCTTCTAATGATGTTATTATGACCGTATCTCTTATGCACTGATATATTTTAAGTCGCAATTTGGGTTAATGCATCAGATATTGAATATGTCATAGTGTAAGTCCGAACATGCGTTATTGACTTGAGATACCTTCACATTAGTATCTTACATATAATTAGATGAGGCATAGACTCCCCAACATATATTGTACATACTCTTTTTAACCCAGTTGGGTTATTTAGGTAACTCAACTTTTATAAAGTGTTATCATAAAATGAGAGAATCCAACTCATGACCTCTAATGATAATACTAAATTCTATTAACAAA